ACATTATTTATAATTTAAATACTCTAATTCATCCAATTAATGTTAACATTGATAGCTGTTAAAACAAACACTCTTTACTTTCATTCATGAAGGGCTTGCTTTTTCGGCCAATCCCACCAACCGTCAAACATAATCTGCGTAGCTCACTCTATGGATCCCACACATTCAGACCATATTATTTTTTTGGGAACCGAAAAGTCCCAAACGTACACACATCATGAGGTGGAGGGCTTGTTAATTATTCTGCTAATGATCTGGTTTGTTTCTTTCACGGCCTTCACCTTCTTTTTTCACTTGCTTTCTTTTCTATTTCTATCAATACAAATACCTTGCATCATTTCCATGATGACAGCATATTTACAATTATGATGATTGTATTTGATCTAAACTCTGCACATGTTACATGTATTTTTTTTTATTTTTTTCACTTTTCCCCTTTCCTTTTAATGCATAAAATGGCAGGTCAAATGTTTCCTTTTCCTTTGCCTCTGCTAAATTAATGCCAATTAAAAAACCTTGCATTATTCTAACCCTAGTCAAAGTAAAAAGACTAAAGAAATTCTCCTCGAAGATCAAATTAGAGAATTAAAAAAATTTGAGCCTGCGTCAACCAAAAAAGAAAAAAGAAAAATCATTGAGCCAAATTAAGAGTAAACATAAATTTGTTTCAAATATTAAAAAAAATATTTCTATATTCACCCAGTAATAAACATCGATGCATCCAACATCATAGTCTTAATTACATCACAAGACAATGGTACTAACTAGTATATGTATATATATATACACAAGGCAACATGTCACATGTTGCATGATTTAATTAATATTTGTTAACATAGTATATTGTAATAATGTTGTTGATAATAAAAGTAGTATATATGATGTTAATTTATCTATATTTCAAAAAGGCACTATACAATAGTTTTTTTAATGAGAATTGAGAAATTACAGCAATAATACCACATATATCTTCATTTATTAAGTTTTACATTTTGCTCTTTTAAAAATTTAAAATTTCTAGATGCAAGGAATTAA